AAAAAACATGAAACCTGAGGGTCTCCTGCAAAGTGAGTTCACAGGTGGATAAAGTGTACAATCCAAGTTCCCACAAGACAAAAGCTGAGGGGTTATACAAAAACAACTGATCACCATGATGGCCTCTGAGGTGTGTGGGGGGGGGGGGGCCACTAAGAGGCCACAGGATGAGGAACTTCCCCCAAAAAGTTAACAGAAGGAAGGGTGTTAAATGCAGTTCCCCAAGATAAAACTCAAAACAAAGAAAACAAGTGAACTGTGAAGAACAGTTCAGAGTGACACTCTCCAGTGAATGTGTCAAGGTAAGATAACAGCTGAAGAAGAAAACAGGGCAGTATGAAGAACAGTTCAGAATGACACTCTCCAGTGAATGTGTCAAGGTAAGATAATAGCTGAAGAAGAAAACAGGGCAGTAGGAAGAACAGATTAGAGTGACACTCTTTAGTGAATGCCAGGGTAATAATGCAGAGTCTCAGAAGGAAAGAGTACAGGGGACACCAAATTAAGAAGATGAGTAAGCAAAAGAATGATGGTAAATGAAAGTCAAAATGTGAGAAGAATAAAATCCAAAGCTGGGAAATGAGATTCAAAGAACAGGAGTACTGGATAAAAAGAGAAATATAAGGTCACAGAGAAGTCTTAAGTTCAGGGAGGGCATGGCAACTGAGAATCAATGCAAAGAATAGAATAAAAGAATATACAGTAATGAGGTGAAGGAAGATGAGGAGAAAAATATGATTAAATCATATTCATTCAAGAAGCTAAGCTGAGAACCAGCAGAACAACTGTCATAAAAGAACAAATGTAAAATACCTGAGTTATAAGAGCAGTGAAGGCCAAAGATGGGTGTTATCTGATACTCCTCAAAAATAAAGGCAGTTTGTAAAAAGACCTGGACAACGATTTTTAAAGACAAGTAAGTTTCAGCAGAATTTATAAACAGTGGAGGCTGCGAGTCCTGGGTCCAATATGAAGGATGTGAGATAAAAACAACTACAAGATGTACAATACTGATAAGTTTCAGAGTAATTCCAGTCACCATTTAAAGAAAACAGGACAACGCCTACATAGGAAAATCTAGACCTAAGGTAGTTTCAGAAACATGAACATGAGAAATCATATTCAATAAAATCCATGAAACTGAATTCATGCAAAGTAATAATAATGATAATATTATTTTTTTTTTTTTACAGTAGTAGTAATAGTAGTTTTGTATGCCCATGGTATTGAGGCCTTAATCGTTTCCATATTGACAAAATTAAATTAACAAACCTGAAGATTGAGTTAATGATGACTGGAAAAAATTCCTGTCAAAGAAATCACATCACAGACTCTGGAACATGTCTCAAAATCTTATAGTTTGATTGACTCTCTTGTTACAGGCTCAGTTGAATCAGCTGAGTTTGTGACCCCAAATTGACCTTTATTGTTTTCATACTATAACTTCTAATATGTTTTATGTATCTTCACATAATTTCATAAGCTTTCAGTAAGCATTAAGAGTTATTTGTAGACAAAAAATCATAATTTTTAATAAAGTATTTTCATTAAAAATTTCTCCATGAATATACGAAGTGCAAAGTGATTTTCATGTTAAGATTAAAAATACTTCTCTTTATCTAAAAAATCTCAAATTTAGTTTGCATAATCTGTAAGATCTCCTCAATAAATTGCAAACTTTGTTCAGTACAACTTTAAATTTTATCTACCCTTACTCTATACACAGTTGGTCAATTTGCCCAAACTCATAATCAAAATTCAAAATAAATCTAAATTACCCTTTTTTTTCTTTCTAGAATGACTTCAAATTGTAACATAAATTTACATTTGTTTATTCTAAATAGTTTTAAACTTGTAACAGTATACATCTGTTTATACTTAAATTTTATTGTTTTATTGCCCTTAGCTACCATCACCCTATTGAATTACATATTGCACAAGCTTTTCTTGAGTTGCTTGCAAGCATACCTTGTGAAAATTTCTTATAATCATAAGTACAGTAGTACTTATAGTAAGAATGGGGTGGATACACAATACCTGCAATACAAATTATTTACTCATAAAAACCTTTAGATATTCCATAATAAATCTTTAAAAATATTTGAGAGACACACTCAGGTGATAAACAAGTCATATACATAATTACAAGTCGTAGAACCACTCGAGAAAGTCAGCAGAGGAAATAGAAAAATTAACAAAACAACAAATTTCTCAATCTCACTTACTGACTGACATTGTTTGACACTTCTAGCTGTGCAACAAACAGACTTGCCACAGTTATAAGTAGAACAACAGCACAGAAACAATGTGCTAGTGCTAGAATGAAAAAATTAATTAACTAATTTATCAACCCTTAGTATAGGCACACAACCAGAACTCACACTACATCACCTAAATGTACAGCACAAATGCACATTCACAACGTGTATACACCCACCATTATTTGCACATAACATAATATTATGGTGCACACCCACGCTGATGATATACATACAGGATATCAATACAAATCAATAATGCAGAAGATCATGTCACTTTTATGAAAAAAGTGCAGGAAGAAGTGGAAAAAAAAAAAGAAAGTTTAGGAATGGTCTTGGTGTAATAAAACTTCCTCAGTACAACTTCACGAGGGGGCGTGTCCAACATCTGGTCCATACCTACATCATGTTTGTTTCTGTGTTCATGATACTATACAACTTATGTGTACATACAAAAGTATGTCTATGATTCTTCTACTTTTGTATAGACAATAACGAATCCACGATGTCAATACACAGAAACCTCTTAAGATTTCTATCTTTGTATTTTAATTCACCTATATGACTAATGTACAAAATCATGTTGCCTTCTAGTGCAATCGCGAAATGAGGGACAAGTTGTAAAGAAAAAAAACCCTACAAGTTATGGGTCCACAGAAATATCTGTGTCTTCTGGTGTCATATAAACAGACTTTACAGTACATGTATTGCCTCAAATAATTTAATTCACAGAAACCTCTAGTCATTGTACAATAAGAATAACTAAGTTTGATAAGTTTAGTCCACCTGGCTTACTGTATATAGAATAGAAAAAATAATCGAAGTAGGCATGGATATGATGTTGGACATACTCTCTTGTGAGGTTGTACAGAGGAAGTTTTATTAAATCATGCCCATTCCTACCTTGATTTCTCACTTTTTGGTGCACCCATTCTTACACTTTCAATTTTTTTAAAAGTCTTTTTTCAACTTGTTATTATTATTCTTTATTTTACCTAACAAGTTACTAATTTTTACATTTTAGTTACTTTTATAATGATAAATAAAGAATACACATGAAAAACATGAAGTAAAGTACTTTCCTGGGCCTTCTTTTATTTGTTGTCAACTTTCGATGTCACTTAACCCTACTTTTTTTTACACTAATGATCTACTGCATTGAATTTTTTATTTAATTAAATAATGTACCAAAGAACACAGAACAATAACATGCAAAATCAGACAATGTCCCATAACTATCACAATTTTTCTGTTTTATAACTATGCAATTAGAGCCTTTAAAAATTCAAAAGCTTCTTGATGTGTTTCCCATGGGAGTAAATTTTGAACTGTAAGTGAAATAGACAATTCTCTATACAGAAAGCAATGCAATATATGGCATCATTTGATAGAATAAAACCTTTGTTTTCTATTGGCTATGTTATAAATAATATAAAAACATCAGAGAGAACTGTTGGCAATTTCTGAAAGAGAGGATATGACAAGTGGCAATGGCAAGAGGGGTCTTATTTTCTATTTGATGGCTCTGTAACAAAATGAGATTGAAGGCTATAAAAATTGGCTTTGCCTGTGCAATGACAACATTATAATAAGTAATTTACATTAAATTTAGTACTTCTTGGAGGGGGGTAAATAAATTAGAGAAGAGGGGATGCCTAGAGAGAAAATGTCACAATTTTCATATTAGGGAAAATTCATGATTTCTTTTTAATATTACCTTATGAAAATAAGAGCTTAAACTTTATAAACTATTAAAATTTGGAGCTATGTTTGATGTCAAGGTTATTTGTATACCATGATAATAAAGTAGTTTAAATTTTAAATGTAATTCACTTAAATCTTGTGACACGTGTAGAAAAAGATTCCCGTAGCAAAAATGTTAAGAGAAACGAACACATTTATGTAATAAAAGATAATACTTTATATAAGAAGCTCTGATTAATATAAGTTTTAAAAATTTGTATCTTTTATTCTTGAAATAAAATGTTTTAAACCATGTAAAATATATTTTCAGTTGAGCTACAGGAGGACATTTATACTTCAGTGCATATAATGAATTGTTTGTTACATTTTAAAAATCTGGATCAAACACAATAATTCACTGCATATTTAATAACCAAGTATATTTTTATAATATTTGAAATTGTCTTTCAAAATTGAAAGGATTTGAAGCAAAATAATTATCACACAATGTTTCATTTGTGGATTTATCCTGACAAAAATGTTTCAACTTGTAGGTTTTATATCACCATCATATATTTTAGATAGGTATACCAAAAACATTAAAAATGTTTATGGTTCAGATGAAAGTTAGAACTGGGTGAAGCAGTCCTAAATCAAAAGGCATTGGTGTATAAGGATCTCCAAAAGAATGATTAGTAATGTACTCTAATCAAAATCACATGGCTCAAGCAAAGTGAAAACAAGGGTGTTCTCACATGGTAAAAAGTATTGATATGATCTAGTTGTCAGAACTACTATTTTAAGCCATTATTGAGACAGATGGGTAGATGGTCAAAATTAAAACATGGCAGTGAAAGTAATGGTTTTGAAATCCTTCTTCAACAAATTTATGAAATAAAGAACTATGTTTTGATGTATGTAATTGTATGAATCACCCATCTTATGGAAACACATCAATATTTGAAAAGTATATAGGTCCAAATCACAAACTGTTTACATGTAGCACTGCAACAGTAGCAGTGTCATAAAAAAAAAACCTCTAATTATTTAAACTCTTACCTATTATATCCCACAATTCATGAAAAGGAAGAGCAGCAAGTGATGATTTTTCAATTAGTACACAAACAGCATGGCGCATCAATTCTCCACCTATTCCACGAAACAACTTTTTTTCTGTTAGAATGACTGGGATGTTTTGAATCTCTGTGATAAGTTCAGCACCTAATGTAATTTCAAAGAAAGAAGTAAGTGAACTTTAGAACATGCAACAAAATATGCTCATCTGCAGAATGTTAGCATTTTCCTTACCTGAAAACTTATTTCCAATAGATATCTTCATACACAGAATATTTTGTTCCCTTACACATCTACTTATGTGATTTGCATGTCATTAGCCTTGGTTAAACTCCCACTTAAAAATTATATGTTTAACTTGAACTACACTAGTGTATGATGACAGCATCATGCGATGATAGCCCTCCACTAACAGGAGGATGACACAACCCCTTTATGCAGTAACTCCCATCCATACCAATGGATTCTATTTGATAGAAAAAGGTGCTGAAAAAGAAAATTAATTTACCATTCTCAAAAATAGTATGTAGTTTCATCCAATAACAGCAGCCTGAGAGAGTAAAAATCCTGCAGGAGACAAAACAGCCAGATGATAAAGATAATGGGAGAGGAATGTGTGCAGATTCAACCACAAGCTTGAAGGATTCTGTCCAAGGGTTGGTAAAAATGAAACACACGAGTAAAATAGTTGATGAATCTCATGAATCTCACCCCCTCAAGGCAGACAGAGGAGCAACAGTAAAGAGATGGAGATGCAGGTGGGATAGCAAAAGAATGCCCACTATAGTGTTGGCACAGTTGAGGCATCAAAACATATCCTTGAGAAGAAGAGAGAGAGAAGGCACACACCTGAGAACAATGTATCTGAAGTAAGGTGCCACTGGTCCTACAATGTGAACTGGAATATTCACATGTGTATGTGTGTGTGGCCTGAATGAATGAATGGTTTAACCCGTTGACCACTGGCTATTAACTTTCTGAGTAGCCAATGCAAGCCTTGCTATATTTCATTCCAACAATAAAACTAGTGGATGAAACTGCTTGAAACTTCATAAGAACTTTCATAAATGCATGTAGTTTAAGAAACATAAAACCTGTTACTTTTGATAACTTTATTTATTTGCATTATGATCTTTAATATCTTGGAATATTACATAAGGAAATGGTATTTATAAGAAATGATTATGATATTTATATTTGTTTCAGATTTGAACTTATTACTTTTTATGTTTTAGTACATTTTTTTGAAATCCCAAAAAATTGTATCACCCATAAAATGCAAATTTTATCTATTTTTAATTTTTTTAATAATCGCATACTCTCCTTATGGTTTCAAGTAATATACAAGACCCAAAAATAGTATTTGTAAATAAGCCTAAACAATAAATGAGTATTTTTATTTTTAACTAGGATTTCATGTTTATATATGTACATAAAAAACATTTTAATTTTGTTTCATAAATGTATAATTATTTTAGGTTTATGTGTATGTTTCATTGCAGCCATACTTTTGTTTACTGTGCCAAATAAATCGTGAGGTTAGCATCGCGAACTTTGTACATTTGCCGTAAACTATCATGGCTGTTGGTGGTCACTCTCATTCAGTCCAGTGCAGGTGCATTTCAACATTACTGTAGATATGATAGTAAGAAAGCTTTTCTGGACTTGAATATCATTTCTTTGAACTTTCAAACAAGTTTATTTCAACATATGTCCGTGTATGTTGTTTCATCATACGCATAAAACTAATTGCCACTACTAGCGAATGTATATAACAGTTTACAGTACAAGTGGTTCGAATAACACCGCCTGACCCTAGTTACTTGATACATCTTGTTAGAAGAGATTACCAAACGATACAGACACCATAAAATTACAAAGAAAATTACTTTACAGCACTTAAAAGAGTAGTCCTGGTCACATTCCTCTCATTATAGGCAAGATTTATGTTGGAATTCGAAACTTAAGCTCTTCAGTGTATTGAAACCCCAACTGTGAGAATGTCATAGCTTCTCGTGTATTATTGAGACGAATATATTTAGTCCGTTTGACAACCAACATATGGATTTTTATTATTGTCACTTGTACACTGAGTTTTAAACCATTTGCAATATAACAAAATAAACTTTATATATATCAGTTAGCCTGTTTTAATTCTAAAGCAACAACAACAGAAGTGTGGATCTTACTACAAAGCAAAGATTGTAAGAAGGAAAAATATAAAATTCATATGTGGTACTGGTACTAGTAGTATTACGTACAAATCACACAAGTTTATCATTCTAAATACTGAATCATTTTATTATTATTATTAACTAAATATAAAATTATGCTAAATTATTGAACTTAAAACTACAAATTTAAATGCAAAAGAATATAGAAAATCACAAATTCTTTCAGTTCAGAGTGCTAAGCCTAATTTATGTAAAGACCTTGCACTCGCCACTCGATAGCTCCTAACCCTAACAATCGTAGATCAACTTCTTTTCTAAAAAATATATCTATTTTCAGCTAATTTTTCAATATAATGATCAATATAAATAGTTATACAATGCAGCATGACTTAAGCTACTATATAAAAATCATAAAAGTCACGTACATCCAATGCAGTTTTTCCAGAAGCAAGTTTTCTAAGGCTTATAGAAAAGC